GGCCATTGCTTCAAACAGGGTCTCCCCCTGCAGTTCAGGGCTGGGCCCTATCCAGCCTGCCACACTGCTCCTGCATGCATGATGGGACCAGACCCAGAGCTTCTCTCATATAAAACACTGAAGTACAGTTCAGAAAAGGGAAAATAAGCAGAGGAGCAAAGCAGCAACCTGTAACTGGAAAGAAGGATAAGAACCACTACCAGAACCTGACTACTGAGTATGAGGCACAAGGGGCAAGCTGGCAGCAAAGAACCATGCCTGTCATCAGAAACCCAAAGGGATGCATGAAACATTGCAGGGGAAGGAGAAAATCTCTCCACAGAGCCTGATGAACAGTGCTGCTGAAGCATTAGAAGAGGAAGCTCCCCTCTTCCCTAATCATAGCAGGGTCATGCTGCACCACAAACTCCAGAGACAGCTCAAAAGCCCCTTTGTGTCTGCCTTCACGCAGGGCAAATGAAACATGGATTGCTGGAGAAGTCCTTTGCTGCAGTGCAGTCAAAGCGGCAGGAGACCTGACGGCTCAGGGCCAGCATCAGAAAAGCAAGAGATACCTGCTCTCTTGGTGCTTCCTGACAAATTAGGGCAGGGGAACAAGACTGACAAACCAATTTCTTCTGTTAACTCGGGCTAAGAGGCATAAAAATGAAGAGCAACCTCGAACGCACCAGGGAAGCACACATACGGATGGGCTCCACCAGACTGAGGAGTGCTCAGATAACACATGAGACACAGGGTTTAGAGAGACAGCACAAACTACAATGCACCAGTCCTACACAAAGGAATGGCCAGAGCCTGGCTAGAGTTTTATGGGATTTTTTTTTATTATTATTTTTGTGGGATTTTTTTTTATACAGGCTAGCATTGTACTCTTTACTAAAGCTGCTGGTTCTGCCACATAATTTCTGAGAACTTTCTGTTCTAGTTTAAGTCAGTACCCCTCCTTGTTAATTCATTGTCTGCCTCCCAACTGAACACCGGTCTGGATTTGTGTTTGCAGAAAACATTCCCTGTACAAAGTGTGACATGCAGCTACACTGTTCTGACTGAGGAATGAAGAAGCTGAGAGTCCGTCGAACATTGTTTTTTTTCCTGTACAACGTGGCCTGATGTGGAGTTTGGTCCACAGAGGACAGCGAGTTAACCATAGAGATCATCGTCATTGTCTTCACTGTACACGTTGCCCCCGCTGCTGCCTCCTGTGCCTTGGCTTGGACCGGCACTGCCCTGGTTACCTGATGGGAACCTGCATGCAGTGGTGCAGAAGGGGAGAGAAGAGATGCTATTCAAAAGCCTCCTCCACAGCTCAGCACAATCCCCTCCCTTCATGCCAACATCCTGGTGCCAAGTAGGACAGGCAGGAGAAATGGGATGAAGCCTTACGGCAGGTCATGCAAAAGGCTTATACGGCTACTGGACGTCACTCGCATTAAAGTAAAAAAGGGTTGACGGACTTCAGGAGCACTAACAGAGCAGCTACAACCAAGCTGCAGCACAGGCTACACCTGCCACATGCTCAGCTCGCTGCTGTACACACTGGGAAGAATGGGAAAAAGCAGCGGAAAAGGGAATTCGTTACCCAGAATCCAACAAAAAGCTGCCTCGGTGCTCTGTTCTGGGGCTGAGCGAGCCATGCTGCCCTCCCTCCACTCCCCCACAGTTACCTGAAGCTGCCAAAGCCACGGCTCTGCTGTAGAGTCTGTGCAAACATCTCGTATTTCCTGATGTCGTTGTCACTGACAGAACGTCGAGCAAAGCGCATGGCCTCCTCAAAGTGATCCCTGCGTATCTCAGGAACTGGGTCATCCTCCTCCACTTCCTGCAGCAGGACAGAGGGCCCAGGTAAGCTGTGTGCCCAAGTGCCACAGCCCAACAGCCACACACAGCCTCCCTCTAGGCCAGTATGTTCCAATGCCCACCAAAGTAGGGGCTGGAGAGGGACACTGTGGCAGAATGTGAATCATGGCTGCAGCAGGGGTCTTCTGAGCAATGGTGACATTAAGGCACCCCAGGAGGGCCTCGTCCTCCCACAAGACAAGAACAAAGCACTCCAGCTTCATGCTGAGAGCCCACTCGTGCCCATCCGAGGATTATGGAAAGGAACGCATCCCATTTCACCCATGAGCAGAGTTGGGCTGCCCATCTCATGAGCGGGGAAAGCTCAGAGTGCTCCACTCACCATGGCAGAAGGGTTGGTCTGCCTCTCACGTTCTCGCCTGATCTCACTCTCAATGGACTCACGGATGGCCAGTTTGCATGCACGCTGGCAAATTTCTGTCAGGTCAGCCC